TCATACAGATAATCCACCACTGAATGCAGGTGTTTGGTGTTCATGAATACGTAATCTGGTTTTCTTTAAAGATTGATGTTACTGTTCAGCTACACAACTGGGAGTTCTGCACAGTTTGGAGTGAATGATGGCACTTAAACACATGAGCTAAAGCAAATTAACAAGGCTGCAATCTTTTTTTTTTTTTTTTTTTTTTTTCAATTTTTTTTGGGAGGTTTCACAGATTTTCTTTTTTTTTTTGTACATTATACTCATAGTCTGGTCTGGCCTGCATTAACGGTACATCTGCAAATTATTTTTTTAAAGATTTTCCCATTTGCCCCAATGTGTGTGTGGCTAAACTAAGCCTAAATTAGCAGTTTTACTAACATTTTTAGCTGTTCATTAACTATCTCAATCACATTGTGCATCCCAATGGGATTCTATTTTTCCCGAAGTATTTTCCCATTCTCTTGCATCACTTTTTTTTTACTCCCCCCTGATCTGTTGGAGCTGCTAATTTGGAGATCCAGTCCAGTTCTAATACTCTGCTGGTTTTGGGAAACTCTCTGTGCAGATACTACACAGAGGAGAGGTGACGCGACACTTTACATGATCCATTTGTTGCTCTTTCCTCCTGCGACAGCATGCAGCTGCTTGCTGTGAGCAGCTGCAGCTGCTCGGCTTGGATAAGTTGAGTGAAGCTAGCTGTGATGTGGCAACACTGGCGAAGGAAACATTGTTATGCCACATGGGATTTGAACCCGCAACGCTTTAAGACATGACAGATGTGTTACCAATACACCACAGGAGTTCAACATGATTTTCAGCCACCACAATTGCTCGGTTTCCGTCCAAACGTGGCACTAATTTCAAGAAAACCAGCAAAAGAAAATGTGAATCAACATCAACCCCTTCCCAAATATTGAAACAGCACCAAACTCAAACAGTGAATAAAGATGTAGAAAATACGTAATAATGCTAGTTTTATGTTACTTTGAAGAAGGTCTCAGTTTCTTCATTGGTCCACACAGATTCCAAATTTGAAATTTCTTTTTCCTTTCAGTAAATATTGTAACCGCTCTTACAAAGTACTTAATGTTGCACGCAGTATTATACAGCTGGGACATACTACTTCTTTATAATATTTGGCCTTGAGGTCTGTGCAGATGCTCGGTCATCCGGGTCATGATTTTGGAGAACTGAAGTGAAGAAGCCTCTTGGATGAGAGGTGAAACATTTTCAAGAGCGAAAAAGAGAAATTTGCCCGTTTTTTTTGTTTGTTTTTTTTTTTTTAAATAAAGCTCTCAGGATTGGGCCTCATGCTTTGATCGTCCTTATACATCCATTGCAGTCTGTAGTTTTGGGTCAAAATGGGCTGAAAAGCTGGCTGCAAACTGCAAAACCGAGCCAGATCTAGTAGGACATGCTGTAATTTTTGCAATTTTACAAATCATGTATTGGTATATATCACTACACCCATGCTACCATGTCGTAAACCAGACAAAGACTTCGTATTTCTGTCAGCCAATCATATTGATCTTGGGAGGAGCTAAGCCAGGGTATGTTGATGTCCCTGCAAAAAAATGGGTAGAACATTTACGCGTCACTGTGATTAAAATGGAGAACTCATGCAACAACAAAGCGGATCTGTCTTACTACACGATCCAAAACTTGCTATTTTCAGCATGTAGGCTGCTGCTTGGAGGTTGTTCATTCCTGGTGTGTCGTGAAAGGGGATTTTGAAACTGGTAGCAAACAGATCAAAGAAGGGGAGGAGAAAGTAAAATGGCAGACTTGTACCTACAGCCTAGATCTGGTGAGTCACACCACAGATCTGTCAGAATAGCAAACAATTCCAACCAGGGAGGCAGAAATCGAAAAAAAAAACAAAAAAACAAGCAAATAGTCAAACACAAGGAAATGAAGAAGAAACCAGGAAGACAAGAGGAACAGCTGTGAAGCTGAAGTACAAAGCAACATGAACAACCTGGTACCTGAAAGAGCAACAGCAGGGAGTATACATATGTGTATGTGAGTGGATTATAAGTGACAGGTGGAGCGCAAAAGAGGAGGGAAGACAGACAAAGGGGGGAAGTAAAACAAACTGGGGTTCATGAAAGTGACATGAAAACCACGACAGCCTCAGCAGTGGCTGCTGCAACATGCTTCATTTACATCAGTGTTTTGTACATTTCCGCTGCACTTTGTTACATTTTGCTGTTTCACCTCAGCCGGGTGCAAAAACCTTTCATTTTTTTGGTCTAGTTCAAGAATCTTGTGAATATTCTGGGTTTCTACTGAGGGATTTCTGATATACAAAATGAAAATTCACATAAAGAAACTCAATGAGCACAAACAACTCCTGCGTGTAGTTCATGTTACACCCACTATAAACTAATGGGACATAGTCATTACTGTATAAGTCACTCAGCTACCACCACAGCTCCGTCATCTGTCAGGCTGCAGCGATGCAAGATGTAGAATTTGCATGTTCTCCCTGGACCTGCGTGGGTGTTTTTTTCCTCCCACGATACGTGCACGGTAGGTTAATTGGTGATTCTAAATTGTACGTAGGTGTGAGTGTGAATGGTTGTGTGTCGCCATGTGTTACCCCTGTGATGAACTGGTAACCTGTCAAGGGTTTATCCCACCTTTAAGCCTAAATGACAGCCTGGATAGACTCCAAATCCCCCCCCCCTGCCCATGCACAGAATAAAGCAGGTAGAGCAAATGGATCGATGCAATGTCTGTAAACTGCAGCTAAATTAAGACTGGCTGTCTCGCTAGAAGGTTAGTCGACATATTGTTGCATCAACATCTAGCAAAGGAATGTGGCTAGCTGTTGAAGAGTCCATATTCTGCTAGAATACGTGTACATGCTTTCACCATCTTACCCCAAAACCTGCTGGCAGGTTTAAAAGACGTGTCTTTAAAAAATCTCCCAAATGACACCATTCATCAGCCAGAAACTGTAAAAACAGACATATTTGGATTTTCACATTTCTCATGAAAATCCGTGAACTACTCGTGTGGGATGCGCTGTTCCTCTGAGGAAAAATAACCAGATCTTAGATTACAATCAGTCATTTTTCATCACAAGCATTATTTACTGCATGTTTTGTTTAAAACTACCAAAAACATTCTGCTCTTTTAATTTCCTCAATGAAGCCATTAGTGTCTTGGCTGTGCCCAACAGACACATCACAAAAATTCAGTGACTGTTTGGCAGTACTCCAGAGCAGAAAAGAGACAAGTATGGAACAAATTAAAAGTGCATACAGAGCCACATTTTTTCCAATACTCGTAACACCTTTGGGTCCTTGAAAAAATAGTGGGGATGTGACTGCAGTTTTGTTTTGTTTTGTTTTGTTTTCAAACTTGTACAACAAATTACAAGAAGGAATTCTAGTTTTGCTTTTCATTTGCTATGATTTACAGCATTCTAACTGTGTTACAGTGCACAGAAGACATTTTTGTTTTCTCTCTACTTCTAGTCATGGTTGTTCTGTTTCCATAAAGGGACAGGACTTGATGTTGTAGTGAAAAATGAGTCTACAGTGAGTAAAAATGTGTCAGGAGCAAAGAAACAACCACAAACTTCCTTGGGTTAAGAAGGTTCATGTACAGAAAATAGGCTCCTTTGACATCAACTTTGGGCTTCAACGTTTGGAGGCCATTTACAGGCAAAATAGAGAAACTGAGGGAAATAAGCAAACTCAAAAAGCAGAACATGGACTCTTTAACGGTGTTCCCTGTGGAGCCACACACTCCAGCTGGCCGTTGATGTTAAAGTAAAGCTAGTGAAGCTGTGGGTTTTGGTGTCCACTGGTCTTACCTGGGAGGGGATCTGGGCGCTGGCGGAGCTAGGCCCGTTGCTGTGCATCCCCATCCCATTCTCGGTCAGGAACTCCTCCAGGTCCATGTACTGCAGCTGGAACAGGCCTCCATCGCACGGCAGGGTCCTCTCCCACAGCAGCGGGCCCAGGAAGGCCGACTGGGAGTTGGGTCGCAGCGCTCCGGAGCCCGGGGTTCCTCCGATCCCGCCGGGTCCTCCGGCGTTGGCACCCAGCGAATCTTCATCAGAGTCCAGGGGCTTATCTTTGTCTGGAGAGGAGGGAGGAGGAGACATTTATTATAATGAGCTGCTTACACTGATTTTGTTTTGATACAGAGAGATTTCCTGTGTTGTCAAGTTTGCTCTGACCAATTAATGAAACTTGTTCAGCTCCCCTTTGTGTTTGTGGTGAAGGGCAAAAGAAAAGAGCCAAAAATGACACATCCATCCTCACAAGGTGAGATAAGGTAAAGCTTTGCAGTTAGAAATGTGGAAATTAGTGAGTCTTTTTCAATCTTTGCTTAGCCAGGAAACCCCGTCATTTAGATTCAAATCTCGTTTTCGAATGAGACCTGGCAAAGAAGGCGCACCATTATAAGTTTGGGCATCAGATAGTGGAATATTTTCTTTTAAATGTGAGTCTAACTGTGCAGTAAAAGGCTGATAATCTCATCCACAGTGGTCTCATTAGTTTACTGTAATTACACTGTCCTCCAGCTAAGGTGGTAATGATTTATTGATGCTCAAATTGCACATGAAGAATTGTCGAACTGCTGCAGACTTTTATTGCCACACACTGTGTTTCCACTTAATGGTGTCATAATGTTCCATCAACCACATGGCTAAACTTTGTCAAACTGAATTCCTAATTACAACTAATATCAATATTTCTGTATGGTTGTGCGCATAATAGAGTTTTAAAACAGGAAAACAGAAAGTGTCTAGTAGCCAGATGGTTTAATCCCCCCCTCAGAGCTCCACGCTCATTCTTGACAATGGTTGTACCCAAAATCTTTTGCTGCTAGTTTGTAACATTAACTTTTCCTGTCAGTTCACACATACATCAATCATTTGTAAACACTAATATGTAAATGACCATCAACAGGAATAAAGGTGCAGATAAATGCTTTGCTTTTGTACTCAAGATTATCTGGAACTTAAAGTTAGCCAAAGGTTCGTGGTCTTTGGCTACATTATCAGCAGTTTTAAACATTACTGTCATTTCCGACTCCTCGCTGCTTAGACTTGCTGCTGCCTGGTACTGTCACATTTTAATATTTGCTCCAGGAATATGAATATGTAACATACACTGAAGATAAATACACAGGAATTGTTCGGATCAGGAAGGAAGTCATATATCATACGCCAAACAGTTTGGGATGAATGCACCTACTGTTAGACTTCAAAACAACCACCAAGAGAATAAACTGCCCTTTGAGAGCACTTAAACAAGGCATAAAAAGGACACTTGGTTGCACAATCTCTAGTTCTATTCTTGGACAGAGTTGTTGATGTCCCAGGTTGTTTGTTTGAACCCCAAAACCTGC